CTGAATCTTTACACCAGTTTCAGCTTTCCGTAAAGTATTTGAAATTTATACTGTATATAAGTAAACCTTTCATATATTTACAAAACATAATCCCAGATCTTGTAACTTTTTATATTCAAATATTTATATTTGGTACTCAGATTTTTAGATTTGGATCAAGATTGAGTTTTATTTTGATGGTGAGTCTTTTCTTTCAGTTGTTGAAAGTATGTACATTTAAATCATGTAACTTCATTGTATAGAATAATTTTCATTTGTTTTCTGAACCATGTATTTCCATTTTTTACAATGTATACATTATCACTGGTATTATTGATTATTGCAATAAAATCCTCATGGTCATATTTGATTTTTAACAATGTAGTCAAGTTGTTTTTAAATCTGACATTTTAAAGCTGAAAATTATTTTTTTTAAAAACTCAACAAAATCTGACAATCCTTAAAAAATGGCACTGGGTTATGTATTTTACAAGTTCTGTTCAATCTTATGTTTTCACTTTCTGACCCATTTATGCCATTCAAACTAGTTTACATTTCTTATTAATTCTCATCCCAGAATGAATGTTTTCTTTTGTGAATTTAGCAGGACTTTATTTTTATGCTTCTGGGACTCAGTTGTGCTTCATAATCTTAATTTTTCTTTCAAATGCCTACACTCAATTCCCAAAGCCACTTTTAATCCAGTTTTATCAATAGCATACCCATCTTTAAACCAAAAGGTTAAAGAAGCTGTCATTTCTATCATCTGAATCTACATGTATCTCACATTTTCACTGTTGCTACCAGTCTCGATGTTAGTTACATAAGATACCACTGCAGTAAACTAAAGCTGTGGAACCATAAGGTCAGAGAGAGAACTGTAAACAGGGTAGTCAGTGTAATGCTTATAATCTTATAATGATTGGGAGTGTCTATGTAATGTATTTGATTATGCTTTTTAGTTAAAAGAAATCTGGTCTTTCAGTGCTAGGCTTCTTCACTGGGTAGATCACTTGCTTCTTGACCACAGTGAAATTTTTCCAGGTCTTTAGAAATTGATCTGATACTTGCCTACATAAAACCTACTGGATTGGGTACCTCAAAATAGAGCAGTTGTGGGGAGAAGCTGATGTTTAAGAGACTTCACATTTTGAAGACTTTTTGGCCTTGATAAATCTGTTTGAACATGTTAATTGATTGAGCAGATATTACAGTTTAACAGTTTCTGGAGGAAAGAAAGGCCTAGTTCAATGCATGAGCATATCTAGTTTCAAGGTAGTTGGCTAACCAGTTTCCTTAATGTCTAGAAGAATACAAGCGAGTGTTATGATAAAGAACAAGGAGAATAAGCAGGATAGCCAACAGACATCTTAAATTTTGATATGAGGTTAAGGCCTTTGTTGGTCATATGCCAAATCATGATATTACTCCAGATTGTAATAAAACCTGCTTAACACAAAAGTGTCTGAAGGGGAGAGCTGGGATATTTCTGAAAGGCACAGGCTGCAAGCTGCTCTAGCCAGCAGCACACTCAGAACCCAATAGAGACAACTATCTTTTTATCCAGCCAAAGTCTTCAGAGGAGAAAGTGCAGTTGTAGTCGTCAATAGTTCCAATAACCTTATTCCCATCCTGCAGATGGTGATGGAAGGATGGCACAAGAGAGGTGAGAACAAAATGTTGGAAAGCAGCAATGTTGAGAAATCATGGATAGAGCCAGAAAGGACTGGAAACTAGTTGTATACACTAATGGAATCAAAGATGTGGAGGGAGATGCTGGGTATCTTTTTGTTCCTGGCTAGAGGAGCACAGGAGTAAAAAACAAGAACAGCTCATACCACACTATATGGAAAGAATGTGGGAATTGAGGGTGTTGATACTGGGTGTATTAGAATTGAGGCTAAAAGTTAATTATCTTCTGTGCTAAAGTAAGCGAGGATGGTGACCCCTATTGGAACAATCCTCAAGTATGAGGAAGAACAGGGGGCTGATCATGAAACATCATCCATTTCATTTCAACAAAACTGGGACTGGAGAAGGACAAATGAAAATGACCACCAAGTGATGTACTGTACCTTTTTAAATGCAAGATCTACTTTTTAATTTGCCAGTCCTGTGCAATCTACCACTGTGAATTTGAAGCTCTGATATAGGAAAAACAGACTGGGCAGAGCAGTACAATAACAATACCCATCACTAAAATGACAGCAAATAAAAGCAAGTGACTCATGTGGACAAGTAATGTTCCTCTGTTTACAAAAAAGAATATCCTACCTTATGTAAACATTAGCACTGAGAAGCTTCATCACTTTTTTTTTTGCGTTGAGACTGCTGATTATGTACATGACACTTTTGTGTCCCTGCTGCTCGACATTCAGCAGTTCAGTCATGTCTATGAGGAATGCTAAATCCAGAAGCCACTGGTCCTCCTCTAATTTAGCTTATTCATCATATTTAGACAACTTGAGAAACTCTTTGATTTCAGGCAACAGCTGTCCGAACCTTGCCAAAAATGTTTGTTTTTGAAATCTCCAAACAGCAAGTCAGCAGCCTCAGCAAACACTTATTTCTCAACCCCCAACTGACCTTTTGTGCTCAGGCAGAACGCGGTTCACACAGGACACGTTTGCTGCTTTCCCTCTTGTATTAAGCCTCATGAAAACTGACTGCATGTAGTTGATATTTTAATTTTTCTACATTTCTTTTCCATAACTCACTTTTAGTGGGGAAAAATCATACATGTTCGTGTGCAGTTTTGAAATGTTGTTCTACATTTCCCTTTTTCACAGACACTAGCATTCCAGATTTGAATGTTAAAGTACAAATAACTAATCATGCTCCCATTCCTTGTGGTAACTCTGCATCATTTTCGCTCAAACACTATCAAATAGGAAAACAAACTTGTCAAACTGTTGGTGAAATTGTCACGGCCAGTCTGTTTGGCTCCACTATGCACTGTAGCGAACATGGAGTTTGTGCAGCAATAACCAAGAGACTTTTTTTAACCTTTTTTTGCGTCAGCCAGCACTCAGGGAAGAGACTTTTACAACCCAATAGAATGTTCCAGCTTAAGTTCTGGTGTTCTCTCCCACTGCTCATTAGATAGCTTCCTTAAAGCCACCAAGGAAAAAACCCTAAGCAAGATGCCTAATGAACAAAAAAAATCATATGACCCAAAGTAATTTAAGGGTAGAGATAAAAAAAAAACAAAAAAAGACCCCTTTTCAGAGAGCCCTAATAAGCTGATCAATGATCAAAACTAAAACTTGTTCAAAGTTCAACAAAGCACATAATCCATTATTGCAACTCTGGCCTTAAGAACAGACCATTTGTTTTGATACTATGTATGAAACTCTTCAATTCTTTAGTAAATTTACTAAAGGACCAGAAATTGATCACAAAGTATTCCAAGTCTTTAGAAACCTAATGAGTCAACTGTAATAACTGCTGAATTAGAGCTAGCCAGGAGCAAGCCTGGGGATGCCCAAGCTATACTCGGTCTATAATAAATACAGCAAAACTGGTCTTCATGGAACCTCAACAGTGCATTTATTTTTTTTATACAGTTAAGTTATAATTTGTATTTCCCCTTATAGTGAATAACAGCTTTCAAAATATACAGCAAGCAGAAATAAAAGCTCTGAAAAATAGTCCTTTGGCATAGTTACAAACAAAAACCAGTGTTAATCCAAAAAAGTGCAACAAACTTTCATCAAGAGGCAAACAAATTTCAGCAGCTGGGAGCCAGTTCTTGAATCCGCCACCATACTGTAGGCTCCCCGTCTCACTCCGGATCAACGTCGGCCTCTTCAGTCCCTAACCGCTGCATGTGCTCCTTCAAGCCAAGGCAGGGAAATCCTCTGGGTCATCAGGATTAGGGGCCAGAATCTGTGCCTGAAATTAAAAGTATTTCAAAGGAGAGCAAGAGACACCTTGTAGCCCTGCATCTTCAGCAGGGAAAAGGTTTCTCCTTTCGAGCAGCGTCCATAGTAGCCCAGGTTTGCGTAACCTTTACGAAGCCAATTTAACTATACTGTACAGTGTTGATACTCATTATTCCTTACACTTATACAGCACATTTCTTGACACTCCACTCAAAGTGCTTCACAGGTAATGGGGACTCCCCTCCACCACCAATGAGTTGCCCCCACATGGATGATGCGACGGCAGCCATAGTGCACCAGTATGCTCACCACACACCAGCTATCAGTGGAGAGGAGAGCAAACTGATGAAGCCAATTCATAGATGGGGATTATTAGGAGGCCATTATTGGTAAGGACCAACGGGAAATTTGGCCAGGACTCCTTGAGAAACACTCTGGGATTTGTAATGACCAGAGTCAGAACCTCAGTTTTACACCTCATCCAAAGGATGGCGTCTTTTCTACAGTAGTGTCGCCATCACTATACTGGGGCATTGTGGGTCCCACCACACAGACTGCAGACTGGTACTGGCTACTCCAATACCTCTTCAGCAGCAGCCTTAGGTCTTCCCCAGGAGTCTCCCATCCAGGTACTGGCCAGGCTCACACCTTGGAGCTCCTTGGCAGCTGGGGCCACCACCCAAGAGAGCACCTACCACTTCCGCACGCGGTGGTGGCGGCGGCGGCGTAGCCGTGGCCTCCGTCCTCGCCGCCGCTCCCCGGCCTCTTCCTCCCCGGCCCCCGCGGCCGCCCCGGCCCTGCCGCGACAGGCTGCCGAAGTTGATGTCCAGCTGGGTGGTGATGTCGTTGGCCGGCCTGCGGAAGAAGTGGTGGTCCTCGTCGTCCTCATCGGATTCCTCCTTCAGGTTCTGGATGCGGAGGAAATAAAGGGCAACAGTCATGGCTCAGAGAGCTCCCTGATAGAAAGACAGAACAGCACAGAACTAGTGCAAGAACAGGCTGGACACAGCCCCAGAGTTGAGAGGACTCTTATTGGGGAAGTGTAATGAAAATTGATAGGATGCTATGGAGCCAAAATAGCCTACACTACAGATCATTTTTCTGTCCATTTTCCATCTGCCTCTTTTGGCTTCTTCTTTTGTGCACCTCTGCAGGATCGCCAAAGGTAGGAAGTTAGCTACCGAGTCAGCTGCCCTAGGAAACCAGCTTCCACTGGGCAGAACCGAGTGCCGCTGGATCCATCTGCATCAACACGGCAGAATTTGTTAGTCAGCATCCTAGTTATATTTGCAAATGGTACAAAAAATGGGGGAAGTGGCAAGACGAGGAGAAAAAAAAAACATTCGGACAACTGGAAATGAAATTTGATATTGACACAAGAGCAAAGTGACCCATGCTGTAAATCGGAACATGCACCTGGGAACTGCAAAATGAAAGGATCTGGGTATTGAAGCCGAGTATGCCATGGCCTCACTGCGACATGGGGAACTACTTCGAACTGAGTGCCTGATTGTAAAGAAAAAGGTGTGCAATTTAAACCAAGAAAAGTTACACGCAAGCTTTAAAGCACACTAGTAGGATCTTAGAACATGTTCAGTTTTGTTCACAATATTACAAAAAGATAAAGCCTTAGAAAATGTTCAAAAGCACAACAAGAACAATTGCTGGTTTAAGGTGGATGGTCACGTACAGGCTGATTTAAAGACTGAAATCGCATCAGTCGACAATCAAAAGTTTTATCCACTTGGATCAAATCCAAGGTGTAGATAAGTTCAACCCATAGGACTATTTAACACTTAGCATTGAAATATGGACATTGTGTCTTAGACACTAAAAGCGGCGCCATTTAGGAAATATTACAAAACTACATAAAGCTGTGGGTATCTGGTTCTCCACTACATGGCCTGTTCCACATTGGAGAATCTAAATTATTTTTGAAGGAGCTCATAATCTACCATTCGTAAGTAATTAGTAAGGTGCACTGAATGGCATTCCTCCTTTGCCACCTTATTTTCTTTAACACAGAATACAAAGGACTGCTTACATCTAGGTACTTAGACTTGTGAATCACAACAGCCTTTGAAGGCACACTGGTCTCTGGTTTGCGAATGTTGAATTCCTTCTTTGGTCGGTTTTGTTCCTGTAGCGCTTTCCACTCGTCCAAAGTCATCTCCGCCACATAATCTTCACGGACTTCTCCCTCGCCCTCTGTCCCCCTGCAACAGCAAGTGCAGAGAAGTGATGCGCCGTAGTCGCCCGCGTTGCCCTGGGCAGCTGAAGGCTGCCGAATCAAGGCCTACTCACTGGTTCTCCGCATCCCCTTCCGGGGCGCCGTGCGCCTCCTCCGTGTCTCCCGCCTCTTCATTGGGAACGCCGTGCTCCATGTCACTGCGAAAACAGCCTCCGCTCATTAGCATCCTCCTCTGGTATATGCGGATTCAGTGTGGACATCTGAAAACCGGGATTTTCCATCTTTGCTATGCCAGGACCTTAATATATATATACACACAAACTTTTTATACAAACACTGAAAACAGACTAAACTACGTCTACACCCCTGGGGGTCCTGAATACAGTAGGTATTCCAACAAGTAACTGCAAAGAACAGGTGCTATTTCCCCTCCCAGTTAAACCCCTAAACTGGACTTTAGCGCTGTACAGTGGGCCTGCTGGATTGTACTCCCAGAAGAACAAAGGGAATGCCATGTATTCATTAAGCCATGGAAAACACACATTAGCCACATGCTTCGAACAAAATGACAAATGTTACATAGACCAGTACTACTCATTTTTAAAAATCATACCTCATTTCATCCTTAACGCTTCCCCAGTTCCGAGGTCCCCCTCCTCCACGCTTTTCTTCAGGCCTAATACCCCTAAAAATGACGACACGTAGAATCCCCATTAGTCCATTCTTGTTTTCTCAAAAGGTAAGTAGGACTTCTAAGGAGATCTACTTGATTTAGAAAGCAGGTGAGATACATTTTAAAACAGGAACCACCTACACAAGGCAGGTCAACACAACACTACCTACCCTGTCCTCCGTCTTGGAGGTGGGAAATGCCTTAAAATATTGCACTGAACACCGTAAAGACCAGTCAAGTCCGGGCTTCAGAAAAAAAAAAACTCTTTAGGACTACCAGTTTTTCTTGAGTCGTTTTCTAACCTTTCCGCTTGACTTAATTTCTAACCTATTGCAGTCCTCCAACAACATGAGTGGTCAATTAGGCATTTATTCTCTACAACTGCAAATGCAAATTTGCATATTCAAAAGCTTATAAATAAACAATGAAGTATATGGCTGTGGAAAATTCGGAAATGAAGTACAGAGATCACAAAGGCACCCGTTACATGCCAAGGGTTTTGTTTGAAAAGAAAACTTCAATCATAACAGCAACAATTAAGATGAAGTAGCTTACTGTATCCAACTATAAAGCAGGAAAAAAATACCAGCAGTTCATAATGAGAACTAAATGCCAATTTAAAGAAAGGAACCACCCAGCATAATTTATGGTTTCAATTTAGCAGGCAGTTGAGTTACCCAATATTTAAGTATTACCCAGTGACTTTTTAAAATCACCTTCCATGTTAAATATATTACTTATGTTTGTGAAGTACATCTTGGGATGGAAAGCTTTATCCAAGAAAATATTAACACAAAAAAAGCCTCTTTCACATAAGAAAGATCGGCACTCAGGTATTCTAAACTATTTATCCCTTGTGTTTTTCTACATCAACTATGCTATTTATCAATTTACACTAATAAATTTGATTCATTTCTAACTATATTATTAAAGTACTACTTGATTGCCAAGATTAGACACTACAGCAGGGGTGCCCAAGCAGTCAATCGATCATAAGAATATTTGGCAAAAAAATAAAGAGGCTCTTTGACTATCTTTTTTGATAGCCTAAAAATTCATTCAGATCTGTGCATGTAATGTCCTACATTTTACTGCTCTTGTGTGCGTTTAACCCTTGTCAAATGGGTTGTAAAAGTCTCTTCCCCGAGTCCTGGCTGACACTGGGGGTGAGGAGACCACAGGCTACCAACGTTCCCTTGGTTACTGCAGCACGAACCCCACATTCGCCACAATGCATAGTGGAGCAAAACAGACTGTCCGTGACAAAGTCGCTAACGGTTTGATAAGTGCAATTGCCTATTTGACAGCTGTAGTGTTTGAGCGAAAATGATGAGACCAAAAACTTACCGTTACCACAAGGAATGGGAGCATGATAATTTTTGTATACAAAATGTATGATGTGGACTTTCCCGCTAAAAGCGAGTTACGGAAAAGAACAGTGGGAAAACTTAAAATCTCGGTTTTCACAAGGCCTAATACAAGAGGGAAAGCGGCAGTCATCGCATCGTTCTGTGTGAGCCGCGTCCTGGCTAAACACAAGAAAGCGCTTGCTGAGGCTGCCGACTCTCCGTTTGGAGATGTCAAAAACGGACATTTTTGGCAAGGTTCAGATAGATCTCACACTGGTAGATCGCGCTGGACTGGCAAATGACTTTACATTAAAAAAAGGCTGGGCACCCCTGCTCTACAGGGACAACTGCAGGAAAGCACTGAACTACAGGACCACAAAGTTCAGGAGGTCGAGAAAACCTCCATACCGTTCCCATCGGTCATTATTCTGACCGACACATTAGCAAAATAACATGGGGACAACAGCTCCAGTGCAAGACAAAGCAATACTTCTAATGAATAACCGTGACAAATGGAGGTAGGTGACTATTTGACAGCAAAGAATAAGGAGGCAAATAAAATTCTCTTTCAACAAAACCTAATGTTTATATTGATTAGCATATAACTGGACGTCTACCTGTTGCATCGTGCCAACGCCTGTAAGCAATCCTGCTGAATAACCCTCCCAAAAAAAATGAACCCGCCATCTCTATATTTAATGAAAGGTTACTTTCATCAAAAACTCAAATGCATCATCTTTTAAAGAAAAAAAGATAAGCAAAATGACTAAAGAATCCCTGACTAATGGCTTTGCAGTCCTTCTGTCTAGTGATATTTTTTCCCCACATAAGATCAAACCACTTAAGCGGTATTAAACCAGGCCTGAAGAGAATACTGATGACCAAGTGCCTAATTTTCCCACAGTCCAGCTCTAATTAATCACCAGCTTAATCTCCATGCTGAAAATCCAAACTTAAATCAGACTTTCCAAGTCCAACTTAAACAAGAGTGCCAGGAACAAGACACATTTCTGCAAAAATGACAGTTTCAAGAACTCCATGACTTTCAGGTATACACAAGTTGTACATTTCCAGTTCTCTCTTTTTTTGGTCTCCCCAGCCCAATTCAGTTTGGGATAGAAACCAAAAAAATCATTCCTTACGCTCGGTCACTTCCACTGTGGCGTTCAAATTCTCTTTTGCCCCTCTGATCGAAACCGTCGAAGCTTCTGAAAAAAGTGCCGCCTCTTCCTCCCCGGCCTCGTCCTCCTCGGCCTCTCATCCCCCGGTCAAACTGGTCAGATGGCCTGAAATGACACAGAGAGATAGGGGATACACAAAAAACCCCAAAATATCAAAAAAAAAGGGAATTATTCATGTTTCTACATAAAGCCCAGAATACAAGGCCCAGCACACAGTAATACAAAAGACACTCCAGCTCTTAGTTTGTCCTAGGTACATTTGTGTGGATGTGAAAAAAGAAAATGCTGAATCATGTTCCTGTAGAGAAGCGGACACAAACAAGCTCTTGATTTTTATAGATACAATTTTTAGACCATTTGTTTTGGTAAAATCAGAAGTAAACATTTCAAGGTTTGTTTATCAACTACTAAGTGTAACGAACAGTTCTTTCCGGACCCTATGCGGATGACACAATCCGACGAAGTGGGGGAACACTGGGGAAACGTCATGCAGGAATACGGGGCTGAAGACAGGGGGGCGTGTCCAAGGTGCGCTGGTGCACGGGGGAGGTGTGGCCGAGGCGAACAATCCAAAAGTGTAATCCTTAGAGTATCCAAAACACAAGGGTAAGTCCAAAACCAGGAGATCCATCAGAACGCGGAATTAAAACACGAAGGCCGGGTTGGAACCGGCGGACAGGGAACAGGAACGGGAACCGAGATTAAAACCTTAATAGGACCAGGCGCTTCCAGGTCCTGGACTTGCACGATACGGAAATCAGATGCAAAGCCCGGATGAGCGTCAGCGCCTGGCTTTTAAGGTGGGCTGGGAATAGGGAGCAGGTGCATAGAATAGAGTCTCACGTGAAAGGGCTGAAGCACCCTTAAGGAAGGGGAACTATAATCGTGACACTAAGCCCAAGAAGTACAGCAGAAAACCCTACTATATAAAAAAAATTGAGCTGTTTTGGGCTAAAACACAAGGATACAATCCGTCCTGATCAGCAAGGTAACGGAATAATTAACTTCAGGACAGAAAATAGAAAAGGGATGATACCAATTCCCAAATTTCAGAAATCCTTAAAGCAATTTAAATATCCCTACCACTGAAATCTGTTTATGGGAACATTAACATTATTGCAACAGGAGCACTTTTCAGACAATACAAAAACATGCTAAGCAGTCCTTACTCAAACCTGGGTTTTTCCAGTCTTCTCACTGCAAAATTGAAGCTATACATAACCATCCCATGCCTGAAAAACTGAAACTTCTGACGAATTTTCTTCCAACACTGTGGTTACTAATACATGGTGACAACAGGGCAAACCCAGATACATCTTTCCAAAGATAATTTGATCATTTAAGATGGCCACAACTGATTGCAATTCATCAAACGTTAAACCATAACAGACATTTTGATATCCTACATGAAGCAGTTTTTCCAGATGGAGCTTTCTGGGCACAGCTTAAATAAAATCAGTTTGGAGGAGGGCAGGGGTTTAACAAACATTTTCCCCCACCACCACCCCCACCGTATCTACATCGTGACACTGCTGGATTCTCCCTCCCCATCTCTCTCTGGTCAGGATTAATTCTCACGCTCGTCCTCGCTATCACTGCTCAAGCGCAAGACGTCTTCGGGGAAGTCTGACGAAACCTGGCCAGGACTGGAATCCCATCAAGGCTGTAGGCCTGTTTTGTGCTTCCACAACAGGCTCCAGTTTGCCATGGCTCTTGGCAGACCAGACAAACTGCAGCCTCTAGAGCTGTGGTTACTAGCCTGTGTTTGATCTTATTGTGTGTGCAATCTTCCTGTTTTGTAATGCAAGAGGTCTCCTAAACGCACAATACAAAACCTAGCCTAGAAGATGGATTTCTGGTTTGAGGAGTTTGGTGAAATATTGTTATGCATTACCTCCTAGAGCCTTGCTGGTCTATGCACTTTTCTGAATCAGCATGCGAGATTCCCTCAAAATTAGAAAAAAAAAGTAGATGTGTACCAGTTGTGAGCTTCTGCTATTTCAAAGCAATAAATCCTCCTGGAAAAACAGTATTTCAGCAGGCAAGCAAGCAAGCAACTTGCACAACCTGAAGTAAATCCTGGAAGGTATGTACAAATAATTCTCCACAGTGTCACGCAGCAGAGCAGATTTATTTAAGAATACGTTTCTTTAAAAGGGTGCTGCATGGATAGAATTGTGCTGTAACTATAACTTTACTCTAAAAATGAATTTAGGTGATTGTGTTACATTTTAAAATATCCCCATGCAAGAATGGTATCCAGACAACTGGATATCCTAAAAGAAGCAGTACTTCAGATGCAGTGCTATAAACTAATCACACTGCTGAGGCCCCAGAGCTACAAGGCACCAAGAGCTCTGAAGCACATCCACAAGACATCCAGCAGCTATATCACCTTGCAACTCACAAGTGACAGCCCAGTGAAGCTCAGCAGGAGTGAGCCTGGTCAGTACCTGGACGCGAGACTCCTGGGAAAGCTAAGGCTGCTGCTGGAAGAGGTTAGTGGGGACAGCAGGTAGTGCTCACTTTGTGGCCTGTGTGGGTCCTAATGCTCCAGTACAGTGCCACTACACTGTGAAGAAGTGACGGCCTTCAGACGAGACGCAAAACCAAGGTCCTGTCTCTCTGTGGTCATTACAAAACCCAGGGTGTTGGCCGATGTCCTGGCCAATCGTCCCCCTGGCCTTTACCAATCACGGCCTCCTACTAATCCCCCATCTACGAAATGGCTTTATCACTCTGTTCTCCTCCCCGCTAATAACTGGCATGTGCTGAGCACACTGGCACACTATGACTATATGTGCACACAGTGGTGGTGGTGGAGGGGAGTCCCCAGTACCTGTAAAGCACTTTGAGTGGAGTGCCCAGAAAAGCGCTATATAAAAGCGTAAGGAATTATTATTACTTCTCCACCGAGAAGTCAAGGGGCGCTTCCGGCTCATTGGGGCGCCTCTCCCGGAACACCTCGCGCCGCTCGCTGTACACCACCTTCACCTCCGTCCCTCTGTTCTCATTCTGACCCAGCAGGCCGGGGGCGCGGGGGGGCTGCTGCCGGGAGCCTGCAGGCGAGGAGAGAGGCACAGGGTCAGCCACCTTAACGTCGACCCCGCTCACCAGTCTGCACCCCACACCAGGGCGCCTCCCAGCCGGGATCCGAGCAGGTGACCACGCACCCCTCAAGCGTCACACAGCGCTCTAGGCGTACTAGCCACAGTCCCATCTTGCGGTTCGGTTCTGCCCAGAGAGAAGAGCCCAGCGCACACCGTGTCAGCAGCAGCACTGTCGCTGTGCAGTGCTGACCTAGGCAGGATTCAGTCGACATTCTGCACAGGCATTTTCAGCTGCAGTAACACGACTCTCCACTCTCGAAAACATGCTTATTCAGGCACTGTCCGCAGGCCTGGACAGAATTCGCTCCATGCAGGACAGACCTTCAAAAAGGTCATTCAAGGAAGCAGTTTTTTTCCAATTTTTTACCTAAGGAGGGGTATTTTTATTACAGACCTTTCTGCACTGACATAAGCATTTCAAACATTTTCACTGAAAAAAAGGCCTTTTCACCTAGCTAGAATTTCAGGACACAAACGCCTCCTTTTAACTTATTAAATGAGACGACGTGCCGAAACTACGGCGGCTATCCTCGAAAACTGCTAAGTGGATCCAATCTACATCTGGTCCTCCAATGATTCAGCACCCGCTTGGCGCCGACGGCTCGATCACCGCCAGCACCCCTCTGCTTCTGAAAGCAGATGAGAAACGATGGATAAATAATAACGACGATACTGAACACTTAAACTGTCATTTAAGGTGTTGCATGGTGTGAACTACGTGCACAACCATTTATATAGCTCAAAATGACTTTTGGGGTGGGGGGGAGCGATAAACCTGCATTTTTCTTTACGAGTTATTTACTCCCGCTGTGCGACTTCTGCATGCAGATGGAAAAACTCGCTGTGTAGGAGGAGGTACAACAACACGAACTTGCATCACAGATGCACTCAATTGCGATAAATTGAATACAATTAAGTGCACGGGCCTCATCCAAACTAACCACAAGACGATGGCGTTTGTATATATATAAAAAAAAGAGTGCTACATCGAAAGAGACTGTAGAGGGGGAAATTCTAACAGCACTTCATCAATAAACACTACGTTGATGAAACCATTTCTTTTAAAATGGCCAAGTATCAGAATGCATAACTTGGAGAACTGCTTATTCACCTTTCACGAAAGCAAAGCATCGTATCTAGACAAAGTCTTTCATTGTCAATGCACCCTTCCCCCCCCTTCCGCCCCGTAATACCAATAAAACCCAAAATCTTCACGTTTAACCCACAAATTATTCGCCTCACATCTAACCTGCGAGTGAGGAAAATCTGCCTCTGACTTTAGTCTATTTTTTTACCCACTTAATTTCTCATCTGAGCCTCATCACCTTCGCTTCCAAGGAACACGGGGACCTTCCTATCCTTCTGAGATTCCTTTTTCCCAGGCTTCGCTGTCCCGCCGCTTCCTTTCTTACTCTCCTCTTTCTTCTTCCTCTTCTTCTTCTCCTCCTCGGCCTCCCGGAGGATGTCAAAGGGGTCGGCTTCGTCATCCAGGAGCTGATCGAAGCGGTTCATCACCGCGCACCCGAAAGTCTCTTGCATGGCGGTAGAGACCGGGCTGGTCACTACTCCCTTCATTTCCAGCGTCTTAAACAGGCAACCTAATTCCAAGAAGATTCCCAAACCCTAGCTCTGCTTCAGGAGGCTGCAAGGAGGCGACGCGTTCATCCTCCGTTACTCCACAACCACTACCCTCACTTGCTGCCGCCCGAGTTGCTAGCGCTGCTGCTGCTGCTGCAGGTCAACAGGTGAAACGCCAATATGGCGGTTTCGTTAAATACGCCCCGACCTCTGCGCCTGATTAGTATTCATAAGCTGTTAAAGGAGAAGAGGGAGTGACCTCCCCCAGTCTGTGCATCTGGGAGCACTTCGGTGTGAGCATGTTTTCTCCGCGAAGAGACAAGATCTCCAATTACTGCGCAGCAAAACATTGCCCAAGACCGATTCGAGGGATATATGGAAAAGAATCCGACAAAAGTTTTAAAGGCAAAAGTAATGTCTACACAATGTATCACGAAACATGATAAACACAAGAAAGAGAGGATATTAAAGGAAAGGGAGGAATGGCAGCCGTTTGATCCAAGAACAAACGTTAACCTGTTTCTTCCCTTGTATTTCTGTCGAGTGATTTTCCTCAACACGGACTTTTTATTCCTGAATAAACTAGATTTGCATTTGTGCTGGTCTTGAAGGTTTTGAACCATAGCAGTTCGACTCAGTGGAGGTGCTGTATTATTAATTGTAGTGATTTGCGTGAATACATTTTTAAATGGGTACAAACTACTACATTTACTGTAAATGAACTAGTGTTGACCATTTTAGTATACAGCTTGATTTTAACTTATCCTTTTGCTAAACATCCCAAAAAGTAAGTTGGTGTATTCCGAAAGAATACAAAAAAAGTATTTTATTGTTGATATCTTGGAGAAAGCAGGAATGTAAGAAAACCTGTTATGTTAGTAAAACTACCATGTCTAAATCTGCATCTGTCTAAGATGACTAGCTTGTACCTCCCAGACACCCAAAGAATAGTCATCATTAAATATATTTTATTTACTTGAAATCTATGATTGAAATCTATTTTGTTGCTGTATATATTTACTTTTGATTTATGAACATAGTGAAGTGAGTCAGCAGCTTCTTTCATTTGACCCCACCTGTCACCTTATCATAGGATGTGCCATAGTATTTATTAAATCATTACCTACTTAGCACAGGCACTAAAATACTGATAAGCATTCTTATGGAGACAATTACAAATACATTAACTTCCTACCTTCTCCTTATCCATTAGGAGACAATCAGTTACTCCTGCTGAGGGTTGCAATAGCCTGGAACCTATCCCAGCAGTACAGGGTCCAAGCCGAGACTACACCCTGGACAGCAAATCCCTCCCAGTGCACACACATACATAAACACAAATGGGAAACACCAATTAAAATAGCAAATATTTCTTTCAGAAGCTGACAGGAAACCAGACTACCCAGAGAAGTAGTATGATGAAATACTACTAGGCAGTGCGGTGGCTTTGTGGCTAAGGATCTGTGCCTGTGACTGGAAGGTTGCTGGTTCATATCCCGTGGCTGTCAGAAAAATCCTACTCTGTTGGGCCCCTGAGCAAGGCCCTTAGCCTGTCTACATTGTATGGGCGACAGGGCCTTCTCCTGTTATGCCCCCAAGCTCTGGAACTCTTTGCCCAAGGATATCAGAGAGTCACCTTCTCTAAACTCCTTCAAATCCAGACTCAAAACCTCCTTCTTCAGAAAAGCCTTTACTTAACTGGTTCCATTCTTCACCCCTCTGCTCTTCTTAATACCACCTTCCACGATCTCCTCTATTGTTATTGTTGTATTGTTGTAATTGTAATTGTGTCTTATCTTGTGTATTCTTTTTATTTATTGTTGTATTATTCTTATTTATTGTTATTGTCATCCTGTAAAGCACTTTGAGAAGCCACCTTTAAAGGCGCTATATAAAATAAAGTTTATTATTATTATTTTTATTATTATTATAACTGCTCCAGGGACGCCGTATAAATGGCTGACCCTGCGCTCTGACCCCAAGCTTCTCTCCCTGTCTGTGTGTCTCATGGAGAGCAAGTTGGGGTATATGAAAAAAAGACAAAGTCCCTACTACAAGAAATTGCATATGGCCAATAAAGGAATCTTATCTCTCTTCTCTCTTCTCTCTTAGAACACCAACATCGATAAAAAAAGAGGAACATGCAGGCTCCACACAGAAGGTACCCCAGTTTAGAATGAAACCCAGGACCCAAGAGCTGCATTGTAGCAATCCACTGTACCACTTTACTGCCAACCATTTTATTTAACAACAACAATAATAATAAATCCTTACACTTATACAGCACTTTTCTGGACACTCACAGTGTTTTACAGGTAATGGGGACTCCCCTCTACCACCAGCAGTCTGGATGATGCGTCAGTACACTCACCACACATCAGCTAACAGTGGGGAGGACAGAATGATGAAGCCAGTTCATAGATAAGGATTAGGCGGCCATGATTGGTAAAGGCCAAAGGGAAATTTAGCCAGGATGCCTATGCTTTTTGAGAAACACCCTGGGATTTTTAATAACCACAGCGCGTCAGGACCTCAGTTTTATAACTCCTCAAAGGAGGGTGCCTTTTTACAGTATAGTGCCCCCATCACTACAGAGCATTGGGACCCACACAGACCAGAGGGTGAGCGCCCTCTATTGGCCTCAATATCACTCCTTCCAGCAGCAACCTTAGTTTTTCCCAGGAGTCTCCTATCCAGGTACTGACCAGGCTCACACCTGCTGATATAGCTTCTGGCTCTTTGTTTTTCCTAAATGTATTTTATGAAAGTATGTGACAGATGCCAGAATTGTGTGCACTCTGTACATTGAACACAGGACAACAGAGATTCCCTGTAGAACTTTAACCTCTATGAATCTGCTGATCACAAAGGCTTATTGGTAGCACACATTGCAGATCATGTCAAAATTATTTATTTTCACGATCGTGGCTAACAACATTGGCAGATTCCCATCTTCAGTACTTCTTCAGTTTAATGGAATGATATTATGAATGTGTGGAACATGTGAACCTATGGCCGTTTATTATGTTTTAAGAGAAGAGAACTCTTTATGTATTGCCCTTACAAAAGCGCACACGCTGTTCATGCTTTACTTTGTGTGTTATCTTTGGCATTATGTGGACTTCAAAAGCAATCACCACCAATGTTTACAGATTAGAGAGATTATGTTTATCAATATTTGTACATAGGCCTCCATCTCAATTGGTGCCAGTGGGCATATTGTGACAACATGATTTAGTTTAATCTCATTACTCGAGCTTTAAAAAACATCTTCAAAAAATGGTTGATGAAAAAAGCAAGAAAAATAGATTGTATGAATCAGTATGTTTATTGGATCTGTTTAAATATCTGCATGTAACTCAAAAGTGATATAACAATTGTTATTTTATAGCATTTATGTCTTAAATTTTTTGTAAGAAAAGAAAACTATATGTTTAAATGACCGCGCAAATCGGAAACGAAAATAGAATTTATAAAAAAACTATGAAAACATTTTCCCCATGTGGTCTTCATTCATGTGATATATAGTGCTATATAGCACACCTGCTCACACAAGAGAGAACAATTATCTCCTAGATTGCCAACTGACTTGAACTTGAAATGTTCTCTTCAGCAAAACGTGAAGCATTTGTCACCATTATAAATGTGACAGTTTAATACAAAAACTTTAAAATCACCCTAAAGCCAACAAAATAATTAATATATGATACATGCTTGCTGTACTTTTTTACTGTTTGATAACAATGTGTATGACTTTTAATGTTCCAGTTGTATGCATGAAATTTTTCATGACGCTTAAATGCATGCTTATGAAAGATTTCATGCATAAAAACAGGAAGTTGAAGATGTAGATCTTATGAATAGCATGTGGGTAGTTCCTCAGTGGCCCGTATCTTGTTATACTTAATGTTTAAAGCAGAGGGAACACCCCAGTCGACTCTTGATTATTTATTTATTATGGGAAGCTTGGCATGATATCAAATCAGTTTTATAGGTCAGAGGGTGAAGGTAGCGTTTGTATGCTGAAAGTAGAGCCTCTAACATTTTACAATCTCACTCCAGCTGTAGATTTAGAAACGAATCTAAAAGATTACCTTTAATCCTTAATCAGTACCTTTAATAAAACTCCGCATATAAACTGAATACGAACGTTATAAGGTATTTTATTTGTCAAGGTTTTGCCAATGATCTTGTCTTGTCTATTTTGAGAAGCCATTTGCTACAACACGACCAAATGCTGCTGTTTTTAAAACGATATTATTTTGTAAAGCCTAATATACAAGAATTAAAACTATTGCGGCAGTATGATTATGTCTACAACGTCTGGAGACGGGAATTCTAACCCTAGCGGTGTTAATTTTGAGATTATTTTTCTGTTTTCTCACCGCCGCTCTCTTTTCTTTCACTATCGCCGGGTTTGTGCGGTTTGGTTACATAACCAACCTCACGCCCAGCGCATCACCTACTTTCCCTTTAAATCGCCCAAAACAATAAACAGACGTTACAATGCGCGCGGGAGAGACTTTGATCGGAAACCGGCCAATCAGAGGCGGGGAAATATCCGCCGCCCATTGGCCGATTGATCCACGGGGGGACCGCCTTTTCGTGCCCGACGCGGCGATTGGTCGAGACCGACGCTGCCCGCGGAGAGCGCGGTTAGAAATGTTCAAAACTGATTGGATTGGCCCTCTGAATCAACCTCCGCAAGGATTGTTCTTCCAGTGCTGTCCTGGGATAGCCATTGGTCACACTGTTGCAGCGCCTTCGTCCTTTTTACAAGTCCGACTTCTGCTATAGGCTCGTTTCGCCCGGCAAGAGGGAAACGTCAGACGCATCGCAACACATCCTCCTACACGATTCGTCCCTAAAACGCCCAGGCGCGAATTGTAACGCGGGAAAAGTTTTAGGAGGTCGAGTTGCTTTTTTGTGATTAGTCTTCCGTGCGGAGCTCCTGGGCTGATTCACACGGAGGCATTACTTTGTGTTTGCGCAAGACTCGAAATAGCGGGGCTGTTGGTTTTTTTTGAGGGGGAAATGCTGGAAATCTTCAAGCCTGATTAGGAAATCGGAGTTTTCTGGTCACCGTCCTTTCTTCCTGCAAAGCAAAAGAATATTTTAATTGAATCGTCTGCTCAGACCGTTGTCTTGGATTTTGTACTTCCTACAAAGGTTTCCCCATTCCTAATTGGAGTAAAGCATTTAGATTGCAGTATTTTAACGTTTCTTTTTCTATCTTTTAACCATGGCTGAAAGCAAACAGCCCCCAGTGATTTTCTGCAACGATTCTCCGAAAAGGGTGCTGGTGTCCGTGATTAAAACTACTCCGATTAAACCCAAGAAGATGGAATCTCTGATGCCGACGAGCCCGGGATTCAGTGATTTCATGGTGTACCCGTGGAGGTGGGGAGAAAACGCCCATAATGTCACGCTGAGCCCCGGACCCGTGAATGGAGCCGCCTCCCCTACAGGGAGCAACACGGGCGGCGAGGGGGACCCCGCTGCGAGCCCCGAGCATCTGCGGGTAAGATCGCGCACATGGCGGCTGACTGAGGCGCAGTGCACTTTGCTCAGACCCCCGGTCGTAAACTGCTACAAGTGGGATTGTACCGCGGTTGGTCGGGTTTCCAAATTAAAGAGCCGGTTGCTATCAATGATGCTTGTGAATATTACAGGCGGTTTTATGGTGCGATCATAGTTTTACGTGACTGTGAAATATACCACCTTAAGAACGGGGGTAAATGACAGCAAAGTGTTTGTTTTCCTCTTTTCAGACCGTTTAGGAAACTGAACACTGCCTTCTGGCTTCTCACCTTAACATATCGTCTTTGGCGTTAACTATATAGGTCTTATTACGACTTTCTCATGGAGAAGTTAAGGTAGTGGTTGCTATTTTTTTTATTTTTAAAACGATGTGCCTGCCCTGGTCGTGAGCGCGGTGCTGAAAAGCAAACGGCGTTTGTAGGGGTTTAAGAAAAGGAAAGCCCCCCTTTTGCCCGCGCTCTTTGTGTGCCTTGATGGATTTTAAAGAGAACCACTTCCTACAGTAGCAGCTGCTGACAATCGCGGTGACGTCAGCGGCGCGCGCCAAAAAAAAAATCCCCCCCCCCAATCCGCTGTAACCGGGAGACGGACCCAAGCGCGAGGAAGTCCAGCCGCCGCGCTGCACGTCCCGGCGATCTCGCTGTGGACCCCAGGCAGACTGGCCACAGCGCGACAGCGGTCTTCACACTGTTGCAAAAAAAACAACAACAACAACAACCGGTGCGACCTCTTTGAAAAGTCCCAAAAAACTTTTAAGGGTTGTAGTCGCTCGTCAACGTGTCCCCCCATGTGCACTCGGAAAATGATATTCAGTGTTAGGAAGCTGAACTCTTACAATGCAGTTCCAGCAGTTGGAATGAATGTTTTTGTAACCTTGTCGGGGGGGCAGGTTTCAGTTTGGAAACTGCACCAAAAATCCCGGGTTAGAATGAACCAACCCGGCCTGTTTTAAATATTCACGTGTGGCTTTAAAGGCGGTCGAGCACTTGTTAAGTCTTGGATTTTTTTTTTTTGGTGCTCTGTTGATGCTGTGGTATTCGGGTGACGTTCTGTCACAGTTTGCGGTTTGTTAACAGATGAGATTATTAAACATCTGCATTTGGGTTGGTCGTGCGGTCTGGTAGGAGCCCTGAAGAAGCTGAATCAGGGTTCTAGGGTGGCAAGGTTTTAGCTCTTTAAATCGCTAGCTGCTGAAAGCGCTGCAGACGGCATGCAAAAATAAGATTAAATCGATTAAGGTTCAAATTTGTTCCGCATGAAAAACTTTTAGAATTCGTGGCGACCCCGGTAAACTGCTTTATTCTGGACCCCGAAGACCAGAACTGGTTAATCCCTGTTAAAAGGTCAAATTGTCACTCAGTGTGGCGCTAGTTGTCTGGCTATACCGTTAAGCAACGTCACGTTTCACCTAGAATCTGTTATTTTCAAAACTGATTCCTGACTCGGAAAACGACTGTTAAGAGATAATTTAGAGGGCAAGAAATGTCTTTGTGATTTTGTTTTCTTTCTGTCCTGTCCTCCTCCTCCTCCTCCCTGCGAGCGCCTACCCTGGATTGAATTATCGCCTTCCCATTTTAGGACGGGATCAGACGCGGCCGCCCGAGAGCGGACACCGTCCGAGAGCTCATCAACGAAGGCGAGAACTCCTCCAGCCGCATCCGCTGCAACATCTGCAACCGCGTCTTCCCGCGGGAGAAGTCGCTGCAGGCGCACAAGAGGACGCACACTGGTGAGCGGCCCCCTTTCCATCATAAAGGGGCGGCCTTGCTTAGACGTTTTGACAGTTAAATTTGCTCTTCTGGTCCACAAGGTCGCCTGAAGGCCTTGGCTTGAGAGTGCGGACGGAATGCGTTTTCACCACATGGCTCTGGGGTGTAGTTTGTGTTTAGAAGTCCCTGCTCCCTCATCACTCGATGGAGACTGAGGGGTAAAACGAGCTTTCAGAGTGTTTTTTTTTGTTTTCTTGTAGATCTCGATAGAAAAGCAGGCTGAGGAAGAGCATTCGTCGAGGTCTTGTTGGGCTGGAAGCTCAGGATATTTAATCATTGTTGTTTTGTTTTTGTTTTTTCCCCCTCAGGAGAGAGGCCTTACCTGTGCGATTTCCCAGACTGTGGCAAGGCCTTCGTCCAGAGCGGCCAACTGAAGACGCACCAGCGCCTGCATACGGGAGAGAAACCCTTCGTCTGCTCGGAGAAGGGTGGGTTCTGCGCTCATGCACTTTCACAAGTCAAGGTGAAGGGTCACTCGTGAGCTGTGCAGCAGGCTGTACCATTGCCCATCACTAAACCTACCGAACCTCTTTCCTTCAGGCTGCGGGAGTCGCTTCACCCATGCCAACCGGCACTGCACCAAGCACCCTTACGCCAGGCTGAAGCGAGAGGAGCCCACTGGGGGGCAGGGCAAGTCCCAGGCTGCCGATAACAAGGCTGTGGCTGAGTGGCTGGCCAAGTGAGTGCTGCTTCTTGTGTGTGTGGGTGTGTGCAGGTACTTGTGTGCAGAGCTTCCGGAGAGCCTTAGTAGCTGTGTGAATGTGCTCCAGTTCTATCTAGGGAATGACTTGGGTACATTTCTCAAAAGGTTGAAGAGTCGTCCTTAATAGGAGGAAAGTCACAGGCTAGTGTCATGTCTGCCCAGTATAGGAAACAACACACTCCTGTACACCTGGATCTGTGCCACGTGCTTTGCACTAAGTTGCCGATGCCATCTTATGAGATTCTGTCCTGTTCCTCTTGTAGAACCTGAACGAATATGTGCCGGTTCACTGGTCTCTGAGCCCCAGATAACGTCACCCATCTCATTCCACACATGTTCAAGAGGGCTTAAGTCTGCAAAGTAGGGCATCCGTAGCACGATTAGCAGTCTCGTCTTGTCTCGGCAGCCAGTGAAGTCCTAGGACTTGATAGTTGTCGTGCCGTGCAGTCAGGTTGCTATCATTCACTAGTGCAGTTCTGTCTCAACTAGGTGCTCCTGCCCAGACCATTGCCCCCCACTGTTAGGCGTGTCCTACACCATTAACATATCGTGGTGCAGAACACTCGCTCATGTCCATCAGGGCAGTCTACACACAGAAAAGAGTGTTCACAAAAGAGGACCTGGCTCCATTGTTGTCACGTCCACCTGTGGTTCCCAGCTTCCAACACGCAAATGGCACAAAGCCATTCTTCTCTTGACAAGACCCACATATTGGTTGGTTTCCATCAATTCACAATTCCAGCTTGTTAACGGTGTTCACCAAATCAGCCCTTGTTGAGGCAATTCAGTGCTTGTGCAAAGTCACTAGTTTGGATCAGTCAGTTGTAAAATATAGTCCACCTTAAAAATGTGTTATCAGCACTCAATAAGCAACATTGTTTTATCTATTTCTAAAAACATGTATAAAATAAGGTTTATTTTGATGCTTTGTATTGGATTGTAATATTTTGCCCACAAAACTGAAACAGGCCTTTGGCACCACTGATTAGGTGGTTTGTTTTGGGACCTTTTTTGCCTTGTGACAATTTTTTGGGTGTGTGTGTTAACCAGGTGTGTGGCATCTTTTGAATATAGGTGGAAGTTGTGATTCCTTTTCACACAGTACAGAAAAGTGAAATTTAATAGGTGATGCTGGCCAGCATTGAAGCCTAACCATGTGTGGCATTGTGGAAGTAGCTGTATAATTCAGAAATTCTATTCCTGCAGTATATCAAATTGAACCTGAGGTTTCCAAACGAACTTTCTAAAAGGTCTGCTTTTTTTTTTTGCTTGAAAAGAGCTGAATTTGGGTCAATAGAAGACTGGTAATCTGAGTACACATGTGTGCTGGGAGGAGGGAGGAGAAAAGGGCAGTTTTTGGCAATCGAAAGCTTGTCCTCAGACACCACACACTGGGGATTTACTGGGGATTCCCATCGCCTTTCCCTGCCTCCGGCACTGAAGCTGCCGTCGGAGCAGCCACGGCCCCCCTTCCACGACTTCATTCCTTCCGGCACACTGACGCTCTCTCGCCCCCCCAGGTACTGGCAGACCCGGGAACAGCGCGCCCCCCTGCCCTCCAAGGGCAAGGGCCCGCCGAAGGAGGAGCGCGACCAGGAGCAGCAGGACCCGCTGGAGTACCTGCAGTCCGAGGACGAGGACGACGACGAGCGGGAGGCGGAGGCGGAGGAGGAGAAGGGCGGCAGCGGGGCGGCGCGGCGCCGCCTGCAGGAGCAGAGGGAGCGCCTTCATGGGGCCCTGGCGCTCATCGAGCTGGCCAACCTGTCGTCCCAGCTCCGCCCGTAGACGGTGCAGGCGGCCCGCACCGCCCCCCCCCCCCCCCCCATCGCCCTCCCGCCGTTAGCTCGTGGGTTCGGCACTAGCTAAAGCACCTTACTGCTTACTTTTTAGGCTGCTATTATGTAGATTTTTATATAATATGAAGAATGTTGTTTCTGGTCTTTCAAAGATCGGAGGCAAAGGTTTTTTTGCACTTTTTGTTTTCGTTTTGGTAACGAGTTTTCAAAGTGGAATATATTGTAAATATGTGGGTTTAGTAGTGGCGGACTGCGCAATACAGGGTGCGTACGCGTCGGCAGGTGTGAACTGTAGGCTAGGCCACGGCTGTTGCAAGCCTAATTCGAGGCGCCCGCGGGGGGCTCGTCTCCGAGCACCGGGTGCGGTCGGAGATCTGCTAGTGACCACGGGGCTCCCACGTGGCGGGTTTGGACTTTCCGTGTTCGGTTCCCAGCGGTCGTTGGGATGCCTTTAAGTGTTAGTGAAATTATCTTTTAAATTAAAAGACAGACCAGCCTGACATCCCAAACCAGGACCTTGGTGTCCCAGCCGAGTCAGAAGGAAGAACAATGTTTTTCTGCTCACATTTAAGCCATAATTCCTAATCGGTCCTGTCGGTGCATAGCGGCATCTATAACCCTTATTTATTGCTTGATGTTTGCTGTGTGATCACAGGAGTCCTCCACTTAACCTGTATTTTGTGAGGTAACCTCGTCCTCAGTTGACTGTTGGAAATGCCATTGCTGGACAGTACTCTATTACCTGGAGACAAGTGTTCCAGAAATTGAAGAGCTAGGGCTTATTCAGGCTGTCCCTAAGGCGGTTCCTGGAAGTTAGCTCACTCTTGTATTTGTCTGGAAACTTGTATAATGTACTGTCAGCAATCTGACTCCCCAAATGAGCACTTAAGCCTCAGGCGCAGTTCTAAATCCAAAGTAACTTGGAGTCAGTACCTGGCACTCCATTGAATCCTTTATTCCAGCACTGAACACCTTCAGGCTCGTGAAGGAGAAGGGGAACCTCTTTGGCTGAAACACAAGCACCTTTACTTGTAATTTGGATGTTAATTGTTGCAAGAACCTGTATATTTCTAATTTATTTAAAAAAAAAACCTAACCATTTATGTTAAATGACCTTTTTTCAAATTTTAATGTTTTAGAATCATAGAACTTAAACTAAGATAAATATAAATTATTTTGTAAAAAAAAATGTTTATGGTTTAATGAACCTTCCTTGTGTTAATCAGGTTTTCTGAGCACCTTAATAATCCTTTTAATAATTTTCCTTTCTGTAGTGTAAATTAGTAGTCTGTTATTCGTTTTTGGAATCTGTTTTTAATTTTTTTTTTTTTGACGGATCATAATTTGAAAATTGTGAAGACAGAAGGTTGGATAAAATGAACCCTTTGCCTCGGCTTAATCAGCAGCAGTAACATTGATAGAAACGTGAAAATGATCCAAAGATTGTTACATAGTGGGTTATGCTGCATCCATTACCACCTGCACAAAATCTTTGCACCTCAGTGTAAAGAGCACATTTGTGTCAGTGGTTGAAAGCTAGAAGATGGTGTTCTGAAGCACTTGCCTTCACTAGCACTTTGTTACAAGTCCTGTTTGTCTGCTCTGTTAGACACTCAACAGGCAATAGAAATATTCTCATCAGTATTTGTCCAAGAAATTAGGCTTGCAAAGTCGTCAGGCTATAGGATGAAGGTATCGGTATGAACCCTGTAATGAGAATGGCACTTGTTTATATTGTTAATAATAAAAGGTATAATTTGGTGGTGGTGTTTAGTTGTCAGAAAGATAGAACTTTTGTTTTGCAACACTAAATAGTCTATTGCTTTGTAGAGTGTATTTAAAAATGTCTAGGCTTTTATATGTATTCGATAAAGCTACAGCTTTTTGTTGCAATATTTGAATTGCCTTTCTTAATATATTGCTAAGAGTGTTTGCTTTACTGTCTTCTGACTTGCATTGAGAACATGGCACTGATTTGGCAGTTTTGTTTTTTGGCTTCATTTTCTAAATTTGAAAATAACCTTTTTAACCATAGTATGTTTTTTGGGGGGGTTTGTGTTGGTATCAAAATGTAAACTGGAAGGGAGGTTCTTTTATCTCTGCCATAGAAAGACTCTACCCGCGTCTGAAATATTAAAAAAATTATTATTATATCCTTGGTAAAACCAAGGTCAGGTCAGTTCTGGCTGGTTCTGACTATTTGCAATCTAATTGGGCCTTTTAAAGGTTTTACCTCCTTTTCAGAACCTAACAATTGGACTACTTTGTTTATTGATTTGCATCCACACATTAAGAAATGCCTACTGGAGTGTAACACACTAATTGGAAAGCCTTTGCTGTAGGATGATAGGTATTAGACCTCTGATCCTGTATTGAGTTTAGAGCAATGGAAACCTCTTGAGTAAAAAAGCAGTTGGAAGTTGCAGAACTAGAGCTATATATATATATTAATTTTAAATAGAGCTTGTTTCATAGACTCTTAACAAAGATGAGGAACCTAAGCAGTTCCGATTGTACTGAAGTGAAGTTTTCTTCCTCCTGTCTTTTCCAGAACTTCTTTTATCCTTCAGGTTTAGCTTTTTGGTGTGTGCCTTTGTACACATTCCAGGTGGCCTATTGAGATTGATGTACAATTTCTGGGGCAGAACAGAGCCTCTAACACTTTGCTTTTACTAAACAATACAATACCATAGTTGAAGCTGCTGTGCAAAAAAAAACCAACCAAAACATTTAATAATCAAAAATAGTAGTTGCTTTACTGGTCTTTCACTTTTTCTGCTGTACCCAAAGTTGAAAAGACTGAGACGTTTACTGCCCTCAATGTTGAGATTTTGGGTTTCACTTCAATACCCCGCTACTAGTTTTTGTTAATGCTGTTCTGCAAAATGCAGCACAATCAGTTGACAATCGGGACAGTTATAGTTTGAGTCTCAATCAAATCTAGATCAATGAGAGCCTAGTGTCTTTATCTTTACCAAAGAACTGCAAATACACACCAGCATTGCAGGACTGTGATTGTGTAGCCACGCACTAATGGGGTTACAAAAAATTAAAAACAAGGGCTTCCAACTTCCTTATCTTATCTTCTGGATCAGGTTCCAAAATGAGTGTTTACTTCACTAACCTATTTTCCTTATGAATGTAGGATTTGTTTTAAGGTCTTATAAATGTTATTAAAATTCACTTATTTAAATGTAAGGTTACCTGCAAAAACATTGGGATCCAATAAGAAGTATTACAGTCATCTAGTTAAATACATTGGACAAACTGTTGATTTGGGGTGGAAACAGAAGATACTAGGCCCACCAAAAACTAAGTGAGACTTTTCCAATAAACCATAAGTGTCCTGATTTAAGATTTTCAAAAGATTTAATGTCCGTTTTCCCCCTCCATATGGAGTACTTTAAAAGATTGTGGGAAAACCTTTAATTAGCCCCCTGAAATTCCTTAATCCAGGAATTTTTTACATGTTCTGATTAAATGCGAAGCCTGGTTAAATCTAGCTCAGTCTTTTGATTGTATTAATGCATATTTATCAATTATTTAGCAAAGTTTGAAGGGTATAAAAAGGGAATCTTGTATATCAAATTTTTAAAGAAGTTATATAAGTTCTGCACAGAAATGGCCAAAAGCAACCTTTTTTTGTATAGAGTTTAATCACACTTTGTCTGTATGGTTTTCCAGGTAGGGTGTTCTTGAAACATGGATTTTGCCAGCGTTGATGCAGGGTTCTCCACTTAGCTAACTGCACTGTTTGTCTGCCATGAAGCATCTGGGCTAAATTTGACCAAAATGTATCAAGAAAGCAACTCAATCATGGCAAGGTTGAGCAAAATGTTTTCTTTTCTTTTCCAGTCGGTTTATTTTCAACATTTTAACATGCAGTAGCATTTGAATCTGATTTGCAAAGTATTATGTACAAAACCTTGTACATGAGTTAATTGGATGGGATTATTTTGTTAATGCTTCTGAGAATGGTTTCCCTTCTTGTTATTTCTCCTTTCCTCATCTTAGAGGAAAGGTTAAGATATGAAAACATTTAGTAGTTCTCACATGTAGCTATTCCTGGGTACTTACTCTTATTGTGGTACTGTATTTCATTTTTCCAGTAATAGTTAATAATTTCTACCTTATCTGGGTTCTTATAGAAAGCTGTTATTGAACACCATTCTCTGTCCATTCCTTTTTCCTTGTTATTAAAGCAATTGTGGAGGACCCTGTATTGTTTATCACATTCAGAATTAATATTAATATTAATGTTCACTTTTCTGCTGAGGATGCGAGGTCTGTAATTTTTGATAATGCTTCAGTGATATCCGTCTCCACAGACTTGTATGTATGAGCGCTGACTTTTTTAAATGTGGAGTAAGTCACACGATGAGAACAAGTGGAGGTTTATTTTAAACTGCTGTGGTTTTCATGAGGTGACCGTATCCACCATTCCACTGCCATTGTTCAGACGCCCATGATGCCTCAGATGTCATGCGTTTTGTGTTGCGCAAAAAAGTGGCTGTAATTTATATTTAGTGCTTTAAATAAAAATGAAAAATGACTCGTACTCCATTTTTTTTGTAACCAAATGGTCACGCAGTTAAAACAACACTGTAAATAGAAGTACAACATTTAATGTTGGAATGCATACAATAGAACCTTGAGTTCATCTAGGCTTTTTCAGGAAAACGTGTTTATAATTGAAACTGAATTGTTCATGAACTTGGCTCACCACAGGATACTCTCAAACCAGCCAAGTCAGGTGGAGGTGGGGTTGGGGTCATGTTCCCTCTTCTGAAATATCCACGGTTAAGCTGTTCGGTAAGCACTGGTAAAGCTCAGGACACTAGAAGATGGTTATCCATCTTCTTGAGGTCTCTGAATCTTCAAAGTCTTTACAGTTTGCATACTGGTATTGTCATACTTGTTCTCTCGCAGCAACACCAGTGCACGCAATCAAAATACCACTACTGCAAGACAAGCCTCCAATCAACCATGTGCCACCTGCGTGCTGTTAATCAATACTGACTAGCAGATATTTAGGTCTACAGGATTCCAGGCTCAGTCATTGAGTCTATTCTCAAGTCTAAGCTTTCCTTGGGGCTGTGTTTTTTTGAAAGTCTACTCTTGGCTCCGATCCTGTTTAGTTTTGACTACCCACCCTTAGGTCAACCTTGTGTTCCACTAGCTTTCCTGAGTACTGACCCGTCCTGTTCGACTGTGCTCCGAACTGACCTTGTGCCTCAAAACATGCTTGTGCCGTGCTTCTCCTTCAGTTTTCCCCTTTTGTGCTTGAACTTCAAACCCCAGCGTGGACCCCTGCTTGCTTTCGGTTTTAATTTTCTTTTGGGCTTTGGACGGTCTGCTTCGCTCCAACTGTTTGCTGCAGGTCGCTCAGCTATGAGCTCATGGTTGGTTTCAGCTTCCAGTTTCAGAACCCCGCTGCTCACGAGGTCAGTATGCGGGTCTTACAACTGTTCAGTAGGTGACAAGTGCAATACAAATAAGTATACTTGCTAAATCCATCTGTCTATTTTCTGATCGCTCCATCCCATGCATGGTGACCTTTCTTGGCAAGCAGTGGGTGCAAGGCAGGGTTCATGCAGATAGCACCCCAGCTTTGTATTGATCCCAAGGCCTCAGCGCTGCAAGGCAGCAATGCTGACTACTGCTCCACTGTGCTGCTCTTTATTTGGTGAAATTGCTTTCTAGTAGACATCCTGCCTGGATGCGTTTTCCCTACAGTTACAGCTTAGTCAGCACTCTACCCCCGGAAGCAGTGCCAATATAAGAAATGCAACCCAATTAACCACTGTAAATATCCAATATTCCAAAGCATGTATGCAATCTAATGCAAGTTTCTATAAATTGCAGAAAAAGCTAGTCTTGCTACAAAGGTTCTGATGTACACTTCATCTTGAAAACTGTTACAGTGCTTTATTAGGGCCTGTCCTAGTCCAATTCTCCACAACTTATCTAATACCAGAAAGTTTTAAAAGCATTTATTTGATTAGAAAGTTATATAATATATTAATCGTTACATATTAATGAAATTCGTTTTATAGAAAGAACCATACATCCAGCAAAAACTGAAAGCTTCTCACAATTAAAAACAGAATTATGTGTTCATCGGAATATAACAAAACAATAAGTTAAATCTTTAACAAAAAATCCTAATTATATTCAGCAACCAACATCCATAAATGTCTTTAAGTGGAAGTCCATTTTTACATAAAACAGTCTTAAAAAATGGGCTTCCACTTGGAAGTAAAGATGTCAATCCCAATATCTGGATTAGACAGACATTAAATACATAGACGTTTCAGAAAGGCAGCACCTAAAAACATAAGATAATTGAAAATAGACAAGAAATAAGCCTCAGATGACTTTAGAAAAAGAAAAGAAAGTTATCTTAAGTGAGTATTGTCCATGTTACATTTAAAATAGCACCTAAAACATAATGTTTCTCCTTTTTATATACTGTACTTTACCCCATCTGGAAAATACAACACTTCCTCCACTCCCAGTTCGGGTATTCTCAGACCTGACCAGTCGATGCACTAGTTGTGACTTGCGAGGAGACCAGCACCTTGACAACTGTAGTCTACACATTTCCTTACACCTCTTTTAGTATGACTGGCCTAAAAGAAAACACCAGAAAACTGTTTGGTCCAGTGGTCCATGGTATTTTAATGATTCAGCTCATGAATGTTTCTACTTATACAGCTTTATTTATGGAAGCTATCTGGGAAAAATGCATGTAGCATCTAAGGCATCGGGATGTCTTTTATAGAGATACCACTATATCCCTCAAACCAATCGCATCTTTTCCAAAAGTGTTAAAAAACATCATTATACATTCAGGATAATATAGATCACACAATCATAAGACACTGCTGTGCCATTCCATTTTAAAAAATCCTACAGACATGTTCAACCTTTATTTACCTTGTTTGCCTGAGTATGTAAAGCTGTGGCTCACATTTGTTTGCCAAGTGAATTATTGTAAATAAAATACACTTGCATAAAATGCAATAAAAACGTTATACAAATGTTAGCAATACACCATTAATATATATACATACATGAGTCAATTAAATATACTCTATTGGATGAAGTTTATTCTGTCACATTCCCGGTTTTGAGTTTTCTATAAGGTGGCTAGCCCTTTCTGTAATTTGATCAGTCAAGCATTCTTGTGAAGCTGAGCTGTTCCCATCACTCTTGGAGGGCGAGTTGCTTTGAAATGTTAAGAGAGAGTACGCAAGCCCTCCTGACATGCTGAAAAATAAACAAAGAGGAAGTCAGGCTTAAGATGATATACTTACAAAAAGCAACAACAAAGTCAGCAAAGTTTGCCAACACCGTTGGGATTTTAAATCAAAATGTCCAACTGTTGGCCTTCAGTTATTCAGGTATGTTTTGGATCCTTTACAGAGTTTCTCCAGGACAAATGAGAACTGGAACCATGTGATCTTCGAACTTGACATAGGGAAACCACAGACAGAGAAGACCAGTCTATTTGATGAAATATGTTCCTTCACTTACTGTATCTGTTAGTTTATTGTTTTATCAACGATCATAAACAGACCTTTTATTTATTTTAGAAGTATACTGAGCTATTCTCTTTTTTTTTTTTAAGAAAGCAAGGAAAGGTTCACAAATGTTTTATGGGCCTTCATCTTCAGACTCACTGACATACTGTAAATGTATCATTACAAACTTAGGAAACCAGACAGTTTACAAACTGAACTCCTCTTGGGTTTGCTTGAGAATCTGAAGCTCACCTGTGGTTTCAATGTTCTCCAAATACAATATGTTGTTATAGGCATTTGCTGAGCAATGGTTTTGCTCATTAGACTCCTAATAAAAAGGGAAGCCTTTGTTACTGCTGTAATTATTATTTGTTAAAGCAACATTTTTACAATTATTGTTGTTTTAAACATATTCATGATAAAGTACTTAAATTACTGCCTTTTACTTTCTGCATTCAGTTTCCTGCATTCATATTGCTTACCAGATATTTAATCCTATGAAGTTTAACCATGAAAACATGTAATCTCCACCAACAAACATGCCAATGTAAGCCACAGCCACATTCTAGAGAAAAAGAAAACAATTTCAGTAAGAATATGATTCTAATGAAGTGTCATGAAATGTGACTTATTAAGAAAGGTAAAATCATGCTAAAATTTCATTAAAATATATATGTATGTATCAATGTATTTGAATATACAGTATAAGTACGTTTAATACAGCTGGTAGAACAACATATTAAGCCTTTACATTCTAATACAGATTCTTGTTTAAAATAAGAGCTCTAAATATTTTTCATACTCAAAGACATTTTATTATTTCACACCACACCTGAAGAAGGCTCCACAGCCAAAACATTGTTTCTTTTCTTCTCTTTTCAGCATGGAATAAACCTTTACCTTTTCCTTTGCAGCCTACGCATGCTGACACAGTGACCTACTTGAACTACATTCTATGATATCTTAATAGTATATACATTCATAGTACTGATTTTAAGTGTAAAGGGCAATCATTTATATTGCATGTGATTGTTTGTTTGTTTGTTTGTTTGTTTGAGTGTGTAAAAGGAACTAATCATGTTATTATTCTGGACATACCTTTATAGCACCAACTACTGTAGTTGTAAGAGCAGAGTTATAATGGCTGCAGACCACAATGGAATACATCAGTACAAACCTGCAGGGTAAACAGAGCGTTAGTCATTTAACACGATGCGTCCCAATCCTTTTCAGCTCATGGCACTCTTGAAACATCCCAAAGCTTTTGAGACACGCCAAAATATTTCAGATAATCAGCAGTCATATTGCAAGGAATAAAGAATATTTTAAGCTGTGACACAGACTTCAATGTCATTGAGAAATATTTGACTTTTTGCTAGAATATCAATATGAAATGTGAGCTTGTTTCAGTGAACATAAGTTTTAAGTGTTGGAACGAGCTACACGAAGCTCCTGATGGCACGCTTTTGAAACACAATGTCTTCTGATTCCACGGCCCACCAGTGGCACACAGATTGGGAAGCACTGGTTTAAAATCCACACTGCGCTGGCCAGGGGCTTTACTGCGACACTCTAGGAAACAGATGGTGAAGGAAGGCTACTCTTTAGCTTTGGTCTTTATAGACCTCAATGTCCAACAACTGTGAGTGGGTTTATTTTTGTCTGAGCTAAGGTTTACATGAAATAAGAGAAGTTCCTGTTTCTTAGCTTCTTGAAACCCTTTCCTTTGATCCTTGTAAAGTTGATGTTTCTCACCCCATTATACAAGACAACAGGAAATGACTTAAGAATGTGTACGACGTCCAGTGTTCAAACGCGATGGCCTGAAACAGAAGAACAACACATGTCCCTTTTTATTTTGATTGAAAATTTGAATCATTTCATTTTCCCCTGAAAAAACACTGTGAAATGTCTTTACCTTTTGGAGGTCTCCAGTACATATGCATGCCAGGATGGTCGGTAGGATTACGAAGCACGCATTGTAGAAAAGTACTCCATGTTTTCCAAGACCCTTTGAAAGAAACAAGAGTATTTTTGTGCTCTCCACACTTTTATGTCAAGGAAGTTGAAGGAAGGGATTGACTCCATAATACTAACGGTGAAAGTAAAATTAACCAGAAGGATTTCTATATTGATCAATGCGATTGGCATGGTTTGAACATTATTATTATCATTAAGAATAAGAATAATCAATTGACACTTTTATCTGAAAAGACGTACACTTGTACGCTCATATGCAGCTAGGCATTTGACACAAACAGAGTGCAGACTGGGCCCTACATTCCAGCTGATGCCAGCATGTTGGGCACCTGAGAGTGATGATCCCATACTCCAATCAGCAATAACTCTCCTCTAAGGCACTGCAGAGCATGTGGCTTCAGGTGGTCATGAAGGAGGAGTGTATCTGAAGGTTCACATTCTCCCAGGTCTGCACATGAGCTGTAGCCAGGGGTCTGAGTTCTTAAACAACTGAAGCTCCAACTAGGTTTGAAAATGTGTGGGTGTGCACCAAAAATAATTGTTATGAGTATATAAATAATGAATCAGTCAGTATACTTTAAGAGTTGTAAAATTTGTTATAAATTAAAATATAAAAGGACATAAATTGTGATAATATGCAATCAACATAAAAACTGCTTGTCTGCAACAAAACCCTAATCCTGTCCATAGCATGAACCTTACCCCCTAACCCGAGGACTATGGGTAGCTAATGATTTTATAAACAGCGATCAAATAATTAATAACGTTAAAAGCATGCTGAACCTAAAGCGTTACTACCATATCTCTAAACCCAACCAAACTGATCTACATTTTATAGCATTTAAACATCACTGATAATACATTAATAGGTTGCTTTTACATAGGGAGCAATTAACAGTTACCTAAACCTAAAAGTGTTGCCGTAAAAACCATTCATCCATTTTCTTCTGGGCCAATTTTCCCACAAGCCAATTAACCCGCCAGTATGTTTTTGAACACAAACACAAACACACCAGATCGGAACCCAGCGCCCCAGCGCTGCGAGGCAGCAATGCTTACTCCCACCCCACCATGCCACCCTACATGGTACCAAAGCAGGGTAAAAAATATTTTACAAATATCTCTGGATGGACACGACAAGTGTTGTGAAACTGTGTGCTTAGGAGGGGTTGTTTTGCTCCAGAATTCCCCCTTCTCCCATAGCCGGTAATCGGAAAGTACCTAGAATTAAGGGGAGAGGAGTGCACTCTCTACATTGCATAAGACAGAAAATAGACAAGCTCAAGATGAGCGTGTGGTATTTTATTTCCGAGATCGATTTTGGCAGTTTGAACTGATATGATACCGAGATATCTTGGAGGAAATCTAATGCAAAGCACTACAACAGTAAAAACTGGCCAAATCAAGCCTAGTCTTCTGGAAACCTTGAGGTCTGCAAATGATGTAAGGAAAGAATGGAGTGTTCTTAACCTTCTGAGCACTATGTGAAACGTGAAACAAAACGCCCCGAGTCCAAGCTGCTGTTTACCTCAGAACCAAGCTGTTTTTTGGTGTAAACTCCACTGGCAGCTGTGAACAGGTCGTTCAGAAGAATGAAAGTGTATCCTTCAACTTCAAAGGCAAGATCCGAGCTGGCAAACAGAGAAATAAAGTCTAAGCCATGCATTACTACTCATGGAATTGTCCAGGGAAACGTTAAAGCTGGTCACACGAGTCTGAATTTTCCTTTATACCTTAGAAAAAGCATATACAAAAATACAAGGTGACATTTGCTTTTTCCACCTGTTTCTAAAGAGTTAGAACTGGCAACAAGCTCTATTCATGAATGACAAAGGGATTGAAGGTATGAAAGTGTGCTCATACATTTGGGCCAAGTATATATAAAAAATATTTATTTTTCATTGTTTTGGAAAAAGGTTTTACATGAAGACTTACCTAGCTGCTACCAATGCTCCAAGGACCATGGTAAACACACAAAAGACAATGGGTAATGGGAATGTTTTTCTGAAAATGACAAAGCGATATAACTATTATAGTTCTATTAAAAGTGCTTAGTAAAACTAAAGCAACGTTAAACAGCCTTAATTGTTGTTCTTTAATGACAAAATATAAAATTCTTAAAGAAAGTACAATGCTTGTGATCATCAGATTTTTTTTCTTTCTTTGTGGGTGTGCTACCTAATTTTATTAAGTAGGTGGACACAAAATAGACAACACTCAACATGGCGAAGCAACAGTTCTAAGGTTTCTATGATGTAGTGAAGAAACTGGTTGTTTTGGAAAAACCTCTGTTTTGCCCTAAAGCCCTTCAGAATGTGTAAAATAGTGTAAAATACTTATGCTGTGGTTTGTTTATCCCAGTAGTCAAAACAACGAAATAACAAAAAAATTAAAGCCTGTGGACTGAATGAAAAGAACAGTATGTGAATATCATTTTTGTATTGATGTTAATATATCTTGTGATTTGTTTTATCTGGTTATCTGGTGATGCAACTGCATTGTGTATATAGCACTCTACTGTACATATTCCCATGCTCGGGACTAAACAGGATCAGACAACAGATAGACGCATTTTTACATTAAGCGTTAATACTGTTTGTGATATTCATTTATGAATTGTTATCAAATATTCAAGTTTGTTGTTTCTAGACAACAAATGGATGTCAGAACAGACTATGTGACTCTTACCTAGTATTTCTGCAGTTCATTTTGATGTTTTGTGTGATTTATCATGATATGTTATGCCTCTTCTAAATGGTCTTATGAAAGACACCCAAGAGACGGTTTTCAGCTGGATTAAATGAAGGATCTACAGTGGCTGAATAATGCTGGAAGAAATAAAAATCCTGTAACTAGGGAGTTGGAGATATGTGTTTGGTCAGACAGCAACCAGAGCTGGAAGCCAGACCAGGCAAAAACAAAAGTTATTCCTGCTCCAGTTCTAAAAGCTTTTCTGTGTTATTTTCTTTCCTGTGTTGCGTTTGCTCTATATCCCTGCACTGACTTTCACCTTGAGGGAACTATTTCTTTAGTTTCAGCACCAGTGATTTCCACTTTAGTACATACTGTAGATGAAGATGAGCAGCTATGATGAAGGAGCGCCCGTTACCAAGTGATGAGGACCTGGGATGCTGAGGCAGGATGGAGACAGTGCATTGTAAGAATGATTACACTCAGTTTGCCAGTACTCCACTGAAGTGACCGCAAGAAAAAGAGATGAACTCAGAACCAGTTGAATCTGAACAATGCATTCCTTGCAGTTTAGCATACGGTATGTCACTAAACAGGAAAGCAATATAAAGTACAAAGCAAGACACCTGTCAGTTTTGTCTCCCTTCAGATGTACTGTACATGCCACTTTGCTGTTTTAGTTGTCGTACAGGTTCCATGTATTGATAATGTGGAGAACGTAACCAGCGGAAAAAAATCAATTACCTTAATACCCTTGCTTCCAGGATCATTGTCATCACAATGGTAAACTTCCTGAGAACAGTGAACATCGGTAAACTGGAAAATAAAGAAAAAAAAGCATCACCTGCTTTGTGGGTTGGGTTGTAGAAAGTAGACATTTCAGAAAATGTGTGGGAAAACCGTGTGATAGCTTTATTCACATCTGAGACGGTTGAACTTGAATGTTAACGTTATGTTTTAAAATAGTTGAATACAAGAGAAAAACCAATTGTCGGTTAACATTTCACAATGGAAAATCAGACCTCAAGTTCTTTGCTCATTTTAATTATCTTACAACATTTAGGAAGCAAGCTCAGGCATGAAGAGACGAGGTAATTGATCCAGATCAGGAGACGTAGTGGCCAAGGCAAAGCATTTGATATGTCTGTATACTGTATACTGATGCAATCACAGAGATCTTTAAATGAAACCACTTGTACCAGACTAAATAAAACAGAAAACAGAATTCTTCTATTGCTATTTAAGTTGCTTCATGTTTCATCATTGCAGAGATTTATCCCAGTTTCTGTCCCAGAACAGATCTGTTACAGTCCCAGCATCCCACCATCAGAGGGCACCCCAACCTCTAGTGCCTACTTCATCTGTTCAGCGGAGGCACAGATCAAGCAGACGGATGTAGCCAATCCTTGCTTGCCCAGTGTCCCTACATCACCACGCCTCCCCAAACCTATTTAAACCCTGCACTTTGTTCGTGCTGTGCTCAGTATTGTTTTCAACACTTTGAGCTCTTGAGTTAGCCTTTGTTGAATTCTCCCTGGATTCCCTACCTGACTTTTGGATTTTGGATGACCTTGGCTTTGGATTGTGTCTCTGGCGCTCGATACTGAATTTTCCTCCGGCTTTGGACGTTCGCTCACCTCTTGACCCTGGCCTCGGACTTTCCTAATTGTTTGTCTTAGGATTTTCATGATCTAGAAACCCGCATAGGGTCAACTCCTGGTTTACTGAGCTGTGGACCAGCTTAACAAGATCTCAGCAAGCTGAGAGTGCGACTTTCCCTAGATGCAACAGCAGTTCCATTGCGAGGCAACCACCATGAAAAACACCATTCTGCCCACTGAGCCCTTTAGGTAGTAAGTAATTACCACCTTTAAGATGCATGATAAAATCTCAAGCACAAATATTCTTATGAATAGCAAGAGCGCACACAATAGAGAACAGCGCACGAAACAAGATGTGGAGAACTGTATCACCTCAAACTCACGCCACTCTGTATGCTCTGTCCTAGCTCTCGCCCAGACTAGTTAGTGGAACGTGATGCGTACACTTGATATAAAACAAGTCCTCTTCACTCATTTTTCTTTGTATCGCTTCTTCAGAATTTTTAAGTTGGCTTTCGTTATTCAAAATGTGGGTAACAATCCACATGCTCTGTAGTATCATGTTTTCATAAAAAGAACATTTGTAAAAAAGAAACATTTGTTATCTCCTCACAAAGCCTACGGATCCACCTTTGTAAAGAAGATGTAAATGAGGTGTCAGTGTCAACACCTAAATCTTTTTGATAGACGGTTTCTTCAAGATCCACATTTCCACTTTTCTGTCTATAGTCAATGCATGAAACATTTAGCACCTGTCAGTGTTAAATGTCATCTGCCAGGTCTTTTTGCTCAGCCCTGAACTTGGAAGTGGTTTTGAGTTGCCTTGGTAGTTCCTACAGTGTTTGTCAACCTTCCTGATTTGATTCTTTTTATTTCCTACAACAATACCTACCAACTGGATCACACACCCTTCCCTTGGAAATGGCTTCGATGGTCTTACAAGGGCAGTTTCGAACCTGCAAACCAACAGAACAGTTTGCCGATACGCTAAACAGTTCCGTCTGAATGTGGCAATGCCACTTGATAGGTTTCGATCCAATTAGAACAGAGCGTACCTTAATTTCTTTGTGCTTGCTAAGCCTGTCAAGTGATTCCCAACATAAAGCAGAGGTAGTGGAAAAACCTGTAACATAGAAAAGCAGAACGGAAATGAACATGTGGAGACCACATGGCGCCAAGGATAATCTGGGACATCATTTAGGGGGATAGAGAGTAGCAGCCAAGGCTCACCCTAATCCCCCAGGTTCTGGGTTGGCCCCAGGTGGTATTTAAAAACAGAAATGGGGATCCTTAAGAAGCCATTTAAGAGGGCCCTTAAACAACCTGACCACAAGCATCAGTCATGACATGACTTCTTCTAGCTCCCCACATATTGTAAGAGTTCCTGTGGTGAAACAAAACTGCAGAGGATAAATCAAACAGATTTGTACCCTGAGAGGAAAACAGACGGATAAAAACACTTGCACATCGACCGTATCATGAACAACATACATTTCGGGAATAACTGTAGCCGTTACAAAGATTTCAGACAGGAAAAAAGATGGAATTGAGGCTTAGAAACCTTGTGATTGTATATTAAAAGCAGAGACTTTCAAAGTAATCACACACTTACTTTGTACGGTATATTTCTGTCAAAGTCCTGGAAATGAACAAATTGTTTCAATTTTGCAACATACAGCACACATATTGTGGTTGTCATCTGGGGAAAAAAGACAGAAAAACATTCAATATATGATACCTTAATTATAAATTATATGCGCTTGCACTCAAAATGAATAAAAAATACTGATTATTTCAATATTTTCTAGTCTTATTTTACTCAAAATGAACGGGGAATTACTAACAAGTTGATACGATTGTTAGAATGAACAAGAAATAAACTTGCTGAAATGTATTAATTGCTGACAATTCATCTTTCCTTTTTCACTCAGTTACAGGTTGACCCATACATTCAATTTCTAGAGAAAGCATCTAAATCTCCCTCCAATGAGAAGAAGATAAACGATATACTGATGTATCGTTAGCTGTCTGATACTCACCTGACCGATTCCTAGAAAGAGGTAAGAGGGGAACCTGTGGACAAAGTATAACGACTTACATGAACAAATGAACAAGTAGAACTGTACTAAGAAACCAGAACTCAGGTGTGGATGTTACCCTGATCAAACCACAAACCTAGCACTCATGTAAGTAATTGCATGGTGAAATAATGGGAAAAGAGTCCTCATCTGAAATGTAAAACAACAAATCGTTTATTTTCACTACTGAGACTTATGTCCCTAGTACCTGGACGCCTTATTACATTTTAAAATCCTGGATGAGGTCGCATTAAATTCCTTCTTTGTGTCAGGTTCGAATCAGGCCATTATTTCTCACTGCAAATTCGTGATTTCGCAATAAGACGTTCTTTACTAACAACACTGCAATCAATTCCTTGGGTTTGATCCTAAAAAAAATTAGATAATTAATCTGGCATTTTTTAGGGTGATCTACTTCATGGTGGTACTGAAGATCGAATGCATGGAGAAACGGGATTTGAATAACAACCTGATTGAAATTATTAGATATATATCACGTCAGACACTATCAAACAAGTTTAGTTCAATATAACCCACGTTTCCTGCGAACTGATAAAAATGTTACACTCGGTAAACAACGAAACGACACTCGGAAATTGATGTACATGGGGATTTGCGACACAAGCAGTCGCACCTCACCTGTAGTTTGTCAGAACAGTTTTGTTGACGAGAATAATTAAAAAAGAGCTACTGGCATAGAAAGCCGCGGATAAAAATTTACTGAATCCCGATACTGGCTTTGAATCTGGCATTTCTATAGTTGGCATAATGTGCGCTGTCTGTGTGACTTCCGTACTGACCGCTCAAATAATACAGGTAACTACACCACGCCCAGGACATGGTATTAAACGCATTTAAAGGTAAAGTTAGGTTCCGTCTGACAGGTGGTGAAACCGGAATGTACAGACTGCTGAAAAGAGTCGGTCTGGCATTTTAAAAGCACAAAAGTAAATGACAGATTTTTAAATGCAATTGAAAATTATTGCTTGTTGCACCTTTGTTTGTAGTCCAATCGATTGCATCTCTGTTTTCTGACATTCCCATTTTAGGAATTAAAGATCTAAACGCTTTACGCGATAGTCTTATTTTAGTACGTTACGTTCAAAGGTACTTTGGAGAGATAAATGGCATCATTCCTCTCTTACTGTGTCATTGTTGCACTGTTGGTACGTTCTCGTAGGGTTTTGGGTTATTGGGACTTGCGGTGTTTAGTGTTAGGAGCGCGGGGTGTAAAGACGTTAAGTACAGTAATTTCACTATTAAGCATGTTTCCAATTGCATTTTTTCTATTGTCGTTTATCGAGGGTGCGCTATATTCTTTGTATTTAAACGATTCTGTAAAACTAGTATTTTTTTTGCTATTCTGTAAAGTCTTTACCGTATAATTTATAATGATTTTTAATATAATTTACTACAGTTACCGCATAACTAATAATGCATAATGTATTTGAGTTTTAAAAGTTAAAGAACGACCTAAAATCACGTCTTGATTAAATACGTGAATCCATTCTGAATATCTGAAAGCGTCCTAAATAGGTTGCAAATGTACTGTGTTTCTGAAGACTAACATATGTATCTACTAACAGCATACTAAGATACTGTTTTTCTGTGGTGCCACTAGTTAACTTTAAATATATTTGCAAATAATATTTTTTAGCATTGATCGCACAGTGGCTGTTGAGGTATTTTATACACTCACTTGTGGAGCCTTTTTTTTAAAAACGTCTTATTTTTTTCTCTTGATTTTTCTACAGAAATGTTGATAGAAATAATCGGGATATTAGCACGATTCTATTAACCTTTTTGTTCATTAAGCTGCTAAATGCTATGTGCAGTACCAGAATTAATTTCAAGTACATTCAAGCCACTAGATGTCGATATTTTACCTCTGATTTTTCTATTAATTCATAATTCTATTAATTCAGTTTCAGACTAATGCATCCTAAGGAAATCACAACCGCCTGTCATCTAATTAGCGTGTATACGATAACTGTATAGCGACGTTAATGGTGGTACGATCGATGATAACAAAATGGCGACCAGGAACTACTCGAACAGGAAAAACTAGGGCTTGTCAGGTCACAGCCCTTTCTGCCTGGACTCCAGCTCATTGTAAGCAGGTGCGATTAAATAATGTGTTCTCACAGCGGTATTTTATTTCAACAGGAAAATGGATTATATCCAGGTGCTGAACATGGATTTATAGACTCCATACAGCTGCACAGGAGTTCACTTTGTTATGGCATGATACGATCAGTCTTATTTGTCTTATTTCTCAGAAATTTGTTTAGCCTCCAAGCTGCTATGTTGTACACGCACACAGGAATTTACAAAAACATACAAATAGTACATATAAACATTACATGAAAAATAAATATGACATTACATAAAATGCATCAAACCATACCTCGTGTTTAAGCCACGCTCCTACAGGAATCCACACAGTTTACCAAAAGTTTACTTTCCCTCAATTACTTTAAGCCCTTGTTATTGCACATATCTTTCAATTTTTGCAGATAATCACTAATTGCACTTGCCTTTAAATGAATACGAGCTACTTTATTAAATACTTTGATTGAAAGAGGGATAAAAGACTTCCTTATTTAGTTGCATCTGCATTGAAAAACCGTTTGTTTAAAGGTATAGATAAGGCGTTAAAGCAGTCCAGCCCAAGACAAGCAAGACAGATATCAGAATACACTAAAATTAAAATACTTACTGTAATATAAAAATAAAAGTTAGGGGAAAAATAGGTATGTGCAAAATATGCTAATAGTAACTGTAAAACAATAAAATATGTGCAAAATGCGCATAGGTTATACAGATTGAAAAAAAAACCCACAGTATTAACAGCAAATTAATGCAGTGTCCAAAAAAGTACATGAGTGCAACATGCTGTCCATAGATGAGCAGATGAAGGGCTATTCTTCAGTTGGTATTCTTCATGCATAACATGTGAGGGATCATAGGAGATATTAACAGTTAGTCTCAATATACTCTTAAAGTTAGCAGTTTGAAAGCCCTGCTCTTGTAGCTCTATTCATATTATAACACGCCCCCAAGAGTCTGGCTTTTTATAGCACACAGAAACATACCAGATGGTTATTCAATGATGCTTTGTACCACAGAACTGAAAAGTGTGGACAGAACACACAGAAATGGCCTAATGGGTCAGGGTCAAGTTGATTTCTGATATATTGTTTACAGAATGGTGATGGACCTTATTGGTACTGCTACTGTATATCCTAAAATCATCTTACATCTTTCTCCACACATTTCAGACAGATTAAAGTAAAAACTTGCCGGACCCCAGTGTTAAAAAAGGAGCTTAATCGTTTTATTTAAGTATTAGTTATTGGACTCATCACACTGTAGGTGCAATACCAATGTCTTGTAGGTCAAATAAAAACATTTATAAGAAGTCTTTTGTCCCCTCTGCAATAAAACTGCTCAATGAATGTATGTAAATGTCGTTCCCCCTCTACCTATATATTTATTAACCCCTTTATTTATGTATCACATACTGTTGTTGTGACCCCATGTACTTTGTTATTTTATGTGACTTTAATGTTTTGCTTGTGTGTTTTGTACTTTTATGGGAGAGGCCAAAGACAAATTTCCACAGTAGTGGACAATAAAGTATCTATCTAATCTCCAAAAAAACTCTGTTATGCATTTATATAGCTGGGTGGAATAGAGTAAGCAGCAGTAAGCTCTTAGTCCACAGAGGCTGAATGAGCACAGCCCAAGTGGGACTACATTCCCCAGGAACTTCTTGGGGAATGGACTCCTGCTCTCGGTCACCTGACCAGTTGGAGGGAGTGGTCAGGTGACTTAAAATGAAGGAAGCAGAGGTTTTTCTGTTTCTGTTAGTTGGAACAATGTCTACCGTCTGAGGACTGAAGGCAGAACCTCTGTGTGTTCCATTGACCAGAGGGAGAAGGACTGATCATGGACCAAAGAACTGTGAGTTGGAGGACTTTTTGTGAATCCGATATAAGTGAGAATATAGTGCTGACGTCTTGGAAGCTTTGTTTTAAAGAGTCTGAGAGAGAAACTGGCTTGTTGGGTGGAGGCCAGTAAACAGTTTATCTGTTCAGCTCTACTACAGAAGGACTTTTTATGAAGACGTTACTCAGCAGCTCAAAAAGGAGCTTACGCTTTTGTTTTGGGCTTTTTTTTTTTGTTTTTGTAATTTCTTGCACTGTAAATAAATTGTTTGTGAGCCTTTCAGCTGTGTGTTTAGTGTTCCTGCCTATTTTAAAGATCCCATTATGACATACCCAACAGGTTTTCCCAATAAAAAAGCCATGTCTGTACCTAGGGCTTGTACCCATGACCCTCTGGTGAGGAATACAACATCCTAGCCATTAGACCAAGCTTTCCTCATCTGAGACTGGACACTAGTAAACATGTTCTGTGGCCTGGACAAAAACATGTATCCATCACCCGTACTAAATCCATACCTAGGCAGTCTGCATGTTTTTTTAAGAAACAATATTGTTGAAGTATATTCCTTAATAATAATAATAATAATAATAATAATAATAATAATAATAATAATAATAATAATATGTGATTAATGAGTGTTAGAACAGTTTTGATCATACTGCATTATTGTACGTGTTTCTCATTTTATGTGATTAAAGACCATAAGGGCACTTTATCAAATACCATCTGCATGTGGTGCTTGTTGCACTTTGCACAAAAATGTTATCATTGTTTATGCTCCAAAGAACATGGTGTGACTTGAAAAGCATCCTGATTACTTAGGATTCTGGCGTCAAAATCAGTGTTACAGTGTACCAACATACCAAATGCTACTCTTGGCTTATACAAACAAGATATAATAACATATTGTTTTTGTACTGCAGCTTCAACTGCAACCTTCACCAGCCTTCACATGGTTACGTCTTTCGTATACAGGATGATGACTTTAAATGAATAGAAATGCTGTAAAATAAAATGCAGGTATAGTCTGTGCCCTGAAATTACTGCCGTTCCAACATGTTTTTCAGGAGGACTGGAAACATCATGTTTTTCCTGCTGCTGTTGTTAGTTGAAGTTTTGACTGTAACTTTTGTTCCAGAATATATTTCAATAAAAAGGCTTTGCCAGAACGTAAACTGTTCATAATGATCATAAAAGAGACTGTCACTATCTTTGACTAACTGCAGCTGTTGTCAATGTGCCGTTGAGTAATGGAGAAACCAACAAAAAAACTGTGCACTTCTCAGCAAGAATGGATGAACTGGTGACAGTGGTTTGGCACGCACTGGTTGTTTGCTGATCTCGTCAACTTAAAAAAAAAAGTGTTCTCCAAGAAATGTGAAATTTCATGGAGTATAGTAAACCATTATAAAGGTATACTATTTCAAACTGTTAAAAAAAAATACTTCAAAATATGGGCTGTCAACTTTAGAAACAGTCACAATATGCAGAGCGGAATGTTTTCTTCAAGCAGTTACAAACTACTCCCATGGCTACACTGATCAAGTCCTCACCTGCTGCCCTTCCTGTGAGCTCAGCTCGACATCAGAACATTCCAGCAGGGCAAGGTGTGTTTTCACACTGATCATGTAACAGCAACTCTGTTATCTACATGAATGAGGCAGATTTACCATTAGTGCCCTAATCCCCGAATCTGAGCCCCATCCAACATTTGTGCGCTGGGATGATGTGTGGGATCTAGGGCTCAATGAGCAAGCACATGCATTTTTGGGGACTCAATTTCATGAGAGAGCATCTTTTGCTTTGTGCAAAACATATGTTGAACATGTTCAGTTTGTGTAGCTTGCAAAGACGCAAGCTCACGTAA